ATCCAATATCGTCGTCAAAGGCTGTACTACCTCTTATGGGCGGAGGCAAAGTATGTATAATAATGTGTGTTTGTAACACACCTATGTTTCGAGGTTCTTGACAACTCCATTATAATAAAATATTTAACCAATTCATTACGTCATAGCTGTCGCAGCTGAGTAGCCTTCCCTAACTCCCTTTTCAAACTTAATCTATAATTACAGATAATGGACATATATTTACAGATTCGAGTAAGATAAATAACAAAAATTAGTGTCAACAGGAAATAGAGTTTGTAAACAACGAATTTACCTTTTAATAAAATATCAGAGTTCATAATTTAAATTAATTTTAAGCTCTGTGAAACAAGCAATAATACTCATAAATTAATGTTCAGTTGTCGAATAAATTAATGTGGTAGAGATAAGCAGCTTAAATTATTTTCAATTAATTATTAATTGCGTTTATGCATTTTGATTTTGTGAGTGATCTAGCGTATGCTGAACTGCGTGTTAAAGTAAATACTTTTCTATAACTTAAACATAATTTTATCAAAAAAATAAGTTTTAACTATTAAAATATTATTCGAAACCTAAAATTCGCGGGAATGTACCGATTAGAATAGGGCTTGTTGCTATGGTTCCCAATTTTAAATTGAGAACATACATTTTATACTTTGTGGTCTTTCTTTTACAAATATTGTTTACGTTGAAAGATAAGACTATATACTCTTATAGTATCTGGTTTGTAAGAGAGTATCGTTAAAAATTATATACGTTTCGTATCCATTACATCTTAAATTTCTAATTCTATGTAATGAATACTTGCTGATTAGAAGGCGGGCGTTTTAATTGCAAACTGACAGATCAATTGCAACCTTTAGATGAATGGTTTAATTTTAAATACGAATAGACAATGTGAACTGGCTATTTCCAGATGTTAATTTAGCTTGTCCTGGAATTTGAAATGCAAGAGATGTTTTGATTAAATTTTAGGTAGGTAAACTTTTTGTTTCTGGATTTATTTATAAAAATTTTATTACAAAATGTTTTCTTGTTTTTATATAGTATGACCTAGATAATATTATGATGAGTGTAGTTCGTTTGTTGTGTTCATTATTACTTGACTTGGTATTAGGACTCAACTTACCGGGCTTCAAAATATCACTCATAATTTCATATCAATACATACCAATATAAAGTTATGTCACAAACCGGGGGAAAAATATCTTCAAGAGAGTCATCTTAATTAGGCCATCAAAAGTTGTACATGAAAACTCAGAAACGAAATTTAAAGCCAGATTAGTTAACTCATTTAAGGTATACGGCTGTGAAAGCCTTCAAACTTTCGATTGGCTCTGGTGTGAGCTTATTTAAATCTTCGCCTTTAACCTTAAACTATTAATTAATGACTTTCGGAGTTTGTTTAGTCACAACATGTAATAAAATGGTTTTTACTTTTCAATGTATTAAGGACCAAACACACGAGATTTCGAAAAGGATCATGTTACTAGTCCCTTGCATTGACAATACATATTTTGATAATAAAAGAGGAATAATTCTAATGAGGAATTCGAAATTCGTAGTGGTTTTGTTTGTTAAAAAAGGAAATTAAGCTTTTTCCAATATTAGTAGAGCTTGTATAAGGTTTTAAATAAAATGAAAAGTATGCAGTTAATTGGAATTGTTCGATCACTAACTGACGTTGCTGTAAATAAATTGTTCGTTTGCTGAATTCATAACAATGTTCGTTTGAACTGTAGACACTAGTTAAAAATTAGTAACATATTGCTGGTCATTTTATAAATGATAACCTGATACAAAATTGTCAAAAATCATTTAATAAACACATCGAAACGAACTGTTTGATAGTGGAAATAAAGTGTGTGGTGATGGTATACATTCACTAGAAATCTTAAACAACATTTTGTTTACATTGTGTTACAGAAAATATTCTTATTGTGCAGCATTAGTTTAATTATAAATTGTGATATGTAGAAATTATTGTCAAGTACAGTTAGCATGTCAAAAGGAAGAGACTAACTGCCCACGACGCAGGGAATCCTAATGTTGGGGCTAGTGCTCTTTATTCTACCTAAATATCCTTTTATTGTGAATAATAAAGTTTTTCTTTATTTCTCATATATTCCTGGTGACATAAAAATTATGACCTACTAAAGACAACGAAACGATAGACAAGTCACGCCTCATAAGAAATATTAATGCAATTGTTTTCACTGAATTAGATTTGCACATAAAAGATTTCGTTTAATTGAGTTTTCTAACGCGAATCTACAGTTTGAATGGTTCTAAATTCAGTTCTAAATGGTGTAAATGTATGCTGTAATTGTTTTTTCTTTAGAAAAATATAATAAGCAGGATTTTTATCTATAGCAATTTTTATTTGCTAAAAAGCTTTGGTTACATTTTATGCAATTTACACAATAACTAACTTAATTAAATTATATATGTTAGAGTAAACAAAATTATTTTTGCGCTAGTATTCCATTTGTAACAATAGAAATAATTGGTGTTCATACATGGTAACAATGCTCGCAGCGTAGAAAACAATAAATTTACCGCAACTTATCAATTACACAGTACATTTGAAATTACTCTATATTGTGAGACAGTGCAATTAATTTCATAGACCCAAAACCATTTGACTAATCACCCTATGACGTCATTAATAGAAAAAGCACAAAAACACGGTCGAAAAGTTGACCTGTTTGGGCGTCCGCGGCCAAACCCATAATCTGTTAATTACCACTTATATTAATTAAACTAAACACCGGTTAAGAAGTTTGCAAAGTTTGAATTTTTGAGTTTATTTCGCGGTACGGACCGAGCAAAGGCGCGCGCGGGCGCTGTCTGCGCGATGTTTGCGCCGCGCCGCCTCAACCACGACTGCCGGCATGGAAATTCGATTTTTCGTGACGTTTCCTCCGCGCCTTGACGATCGAAGTGCACGCGAGTGAAAAGTGCCTCCAGTGATTTTGCACGTCCCTAAAACGATGATATTTATGCCACTGCCGCGGGAAGCAGACGGCAACGATTGGGCACGCAACTTTCGGTAATGCATGGCCTTGATATCAAATGTCTGATTCTTTATATTGAACATAAGTACTGGGGGATATTACAATACTAATTATGTATATTAAAGTAACAGTATACTTATATCTGAACACCACAATTAAAAATATATTATGTAAATATGTAAAAAGTAATTATTAAGCTGAAGGTTATAAATTGGTTCATACTTTATCTTTAATTTTACCATAAGTTATATTATAATTATCGAAAATGTAATTACTGCAGAATAAACAGAAAAAAGTACTTCGCAGATCTTTGAATTTGGCGCGATTCGTGCGCTAAAATTTAAAATATACAGTGTTAAGTCTTTATAACGCCATTCGTTATAACGGAAAGCCCTATATAACGAAAGAAAATGCACGGTAACTTGAAATTCGTTATAAGGAGTATACTCTGTAAATTCAAATCATTGGTAGTATACTAGCGCCAGCGCGCCAATATAATGAGCCCCTATAACCAATGCCACGGTTAATTTATTGTAGGCAAGATTTGTATAATGTAGATATTATTTAGTATTAAAAAGGTACCTGCTTAATTTTTAACTTAGTTTTATAAAATCTTAATTATGTGTTGTCTAATAATATTTTCATTCAGCAACATCATTTAGCCTACTACCCCGCTATACATACAATGGCTCAATAGGCATTGACGATGTATACGGTATCTTTACTAGATAATAATAATAAAAGTCCTTTATTCGCTGACCTTTTTAACTTACATGATATTCTTATTTAACAGTAGCATTCTAATTGCATTTTGCATTAAATCTAATTTACATAGCTGAAATAATAATTTATTAGCAACCACTTTGTCAGGTTGTCTGTCGACATAGACTTTGCTAGATATCTCATAATCAATAAAGCCGTAATCATATAAGATTATTTATTAGCGATGATAGAACCGATACAAATTGTTACTTTTTATTCTGTTAAATATTGGCTTTAAAAATTTATAATTTAATAAAACCCGCCAAAACGCTAGGCAAGATGGCGTCGCACCAATAACACATGACACACACCAATAAACATGTAATGAAATGTCAAATCGTAATCATTAGAGACATCAAAGAGCACTATAGTGACTTGTTTTTTTACGGTAATTTATTTTCCAATTAATTTTATCTATTGTTTTTCGCTTATTTCGTTATTATATGAAATGAAGCGTAAAATAATTACTTTCTTATCTACTTTGTTATATAGAATTTTTTTAATTGGTTTTGTTAAAAAAGTTGTTAAGGAAAATACACAGTCAAACATAAGGCTGTATATACGAAATAATTTTACAATACACAAACTACAATATCATTATCACGAATATCTTTAAGATAAATAGGTATCGTGAGGAAACCGATTAAGAACAAGCGACAGCGTGTTCTTAATTTCAAAGAGAAAAAACAGATATCAAAACTCTGAGCCCAACAGAAAGGATTTGTATCGACACTGTTATTTTCTATATAAGTCTGTTAGCGGCGCAATTAAACATGAGACAAGAATATTTTGTTGTTACTTTGAATTCTTGTAAATCGCTTAGTTGAAGTTTAGCTATATTAATATTAAAAAATGAACGTTAACTTTTTTTTAGGTCTGATCCACGGATTTCTGTATCTTATTCGTGATCATTCATTTTACTAATCGACAAGTAGGTGATTAGCCTTCGGTGCCTGACACACGCCGTCGACTTCTCCCGGGTCTACGGCATGTCGTTTCCTTCACCGTACGAGTTAATGCACACATTGACAGATACCCCATTGATACACAGCCCGGAATCGAACTCCAGGAATGAGAGTCGCAAGGTAAATCCACTAGGCCAACACAACTCAAATATTAATATATTAACCGCACCGTTGTGGACTTAGGTTTTATAATAATTAGTATTTAAATTAAGCTATTGAATAATTCTTGGTTGTTTTTCTAGAACGCTTAACCATAATGATGTTAAAATTATCGTTGTGGTTTCTCTTTGTCGTTGCTTGCGTTCAAGGTAAAATATTTAATTATTAATTTCGCTCTTTCTAATATAATCTCATTGATTATTATTCAGTTTCATTCTGAAACTATTGTTGGTAAATCTTTGAGTTTTCTCATTTACGAAGTAGCTACTATTCTTAGCAAGGAAGTAATACTAATTCAACTATTTGTATCTTTATTATTTAATTAGTAGATGTAAGTGACTACACTAATGAGACGGTAATGGTTTAGAACATTATTATTTTTTCAGCAAAAAAAAGAGACAGCAGAATAATAAAGGGTAAATCAGCGCAAGATGGAACGTTACCATATATGGCATCAGTCCAGGTTACTGGGCAAGGCCACATATGTGGAGGTGCCATACTTGATTCCAAGTGGATTCTGACTTCCGGACACTGTATTGCCCGGTATGATAACAATGACATTTGCAAAGAATTTACTTTTTTAACACTTCTTGCAAATATATAAATTTATTTATTTCCAAAACACAATTCTAACCAATATAATAGATAAAAGATTAATGAAACACTAAAATAAATTTAATGTCTGGTCTCTGTACACTACTGGCAACATTTCCTCGCTGTTTTGCGGTACCTATTCGTGAGGAAAGCACCAGCTCTAGGGTCACCGCTACTGTCCAACCTACCTTACCTGCAGAACCTAGACCTAATAAGTAATTTATCGCTCTGCACATACTTCGCTGGCTCTACGACCCAAAAAGTGTCTTGGCCTTGGATATGAGAAACTTCAGTTGCATCAGTTCTATATTCATCAACATTGTTAATTTTCAGCGTAATGCCCAATACTGACAAGCTTAAAGTAGTTGTTGGCACTATTAGCTTAAAGGCTGGAGGTCAAGAATTTAATGTATCAAAGGCTACTGTGCATCCCGATTTCGATAAATCAAAACTTATTAATGATATAGCCCTTCTACAAGTCTCCAAACCTATGGAATTTGGTGACAAGGTGCAAGCTATAGCTTTACCAGAAAAGGATACAGAGACAGGAGCAAACGTTATGGTTTCCGGGTGGGGATTAACAGATAATGTAAGCGTTTTTCTGTCATCATTATTTAGGTTAGGTAGAAATATGGGACCAGATAGCCCAAGTGTGTTTAGGTTTTTATACTTCTAAATCGAGATTTTTAGAGGTTACGAAAATTGAGTCTTTTGTTCCATATTAATTTTAATCCTAAAATTAAGAAATCTTAAACGAGGCTCGATTAGACATACATAGGGAAGGACTCCCGGCGTTAACAGACGGGAGTGAATGTTGGGTATGGCAGAGAAAGAATTTTAAAAGAGTACCGAGAGTTTTTTACGCCGGCTTTTTCTCTCGGCCTACACCCGTGTCTGTGAAGTTAGCAGAGCACTTACCAGCAGAGCACAAAAAAATTTGAGTTCTGGCAGCACACTCAATAGTTCTATAGTTCCTGATAGTTTTTAGAAAGAGTTCTGGACTTTTAAGTCCAGAAAATAATTTTTTAAAAAATCGTAAAATGCTCTGCCAGCTTCCCGATCACAGCAGAGCATTTCTTACCGATTTCGATAAATAAGGTCTCATTAAAACAATCATTTCAATTGTAACAGTTCCCTATCATTTAAATCCAAAAATAAAAAGGTTTAATTATCAAAAAAAAATAAAGAAGAGTGAGAGAAAACGAAATAATGAGCATTTGTCAAAAATTTTACTAAATTAAAAAAAAACATATTGTACAGACATGGGAACTCCGCGGTTTCTATTAGATATTTTAGATGTCTAGGCAACACAATTAAATCCTAGGCCAGAACTCTCCGCTTTCTCTCAGCAGAGCATACCTCTTTGATGAAAATTGGATTTTTTTTCATTTATTATAGAAATATTCAAAAAAAAATAACTTTTGGGTCTAGACATGGAAACTCCGCGGTTTCTATTAGATCTTTTAGATGTCTAGGCAATACAATTAAATCCTATGCCAGAACTCTTCGCTTTCTCTCAGCAGAGCATACCTGTATGATGAAAATTGGCAATTTTATCACTTATTTTGGAAAAATTAAAAAAAAAATAACTTTTGGGTCTAAACATGGGAACTCCGCGGTTTCTATTATATATTTTAGATGTCTAGGCAACACAATTAAATCCTAGGCCAGAACTCTTCGCTTTCTCTCAGCAGAGCATACCTCTATGATGAAAATTGGCGATTTTTTCACTTATTTTAGATAAATTAAAAAAATTAACTTTTGGGTCTAGACATGGGAACTCCGCGGTTTCTATTAGATCTTTTAGATGTCTAGGCAATACAATTAAATCCTATGCAAGAACTCTTCGCTTTCTCTCAGCAGAGCATACCTATTTGATGAAAATTAGATTTTTTTTCATTTGTTTAGAAATATTAAAAAAAAAATTAACTTTTGGGTTTAGACATGGGAACTCCGCGGTTTCTATTAGATCTTTGAGATGTCTAGGCAACACAATTAAATCCTAAGCAAGAACTCTTCGCTTTCTCTCAGCAGAGCATACCTCTATGATGAAAATTGGCGATTTTTTCACTTATTTTAGATAAATTAAAAAAAACTTTTGGGTCTAGACATGAGAACTCCGTGGTTTCTATTAGATCTTGTAAATGTCTAGGCAACACAATTAAATCCTAGGCCAGAACTCTTCGCTTTCTCTCAGCAGAGCATATGAATATTTCTAAAATAAGTGAAAAAATTGCCAATTTTCATCAAAGAGGTATGCTCTGAAATCCAGGAGGTACTAGAGAAGGTACATGTTAAAATTTCCCAGAACTGATGAGTATGCATAATGAATGTTATGAAAGTGGATGGAACAAGAGAGGCATGTCAGGACCGTAGCAAGTGAAGACCCGTGGTCTCTGCCAACCCCGGGAAAAAGGCATGATGGTAATTAAAATAAAATATTAATATTGCAGAAACAAAATGCTTACCCAGACAAGCTACAAGTTCTCAATCGAACTGCATTATCAATTGAAAACTGCAAGGAAGTATTAGGAGACATGCCAAATGAAAAGAGATTGTGTACCGTACCTCAAAGAAAGGGAACTGGTATCTGCATAGTAAGTAATAATAATAAAATATATAAATTAAGATTTTATATTATATTTTTTATATGTTATGTGGCTAGGAAGAACAGCCAACCTTTTCTCAATAATAATAAATATAATTTAAAACGAAATCTTATGATTGACTACTAATGTATAAAATGTTATGGGTGTGAGTCTGTATTATCTTAAATTTTTTAAATTTCTCTTCTAGGGAGACGCGGGCAACCCTCTAGTGGAAGGCAAGGCAATAGTTGGTGTCGCGTCATTCGTATTATTTGATTGTGGGTCCAAATACCCTGACGGATATGCAAGTGTCTTCGCTTACAAAGATTGGATTAAAAAGAATATGTCATAAGTATTCAATGTAAAAACTTAAAAATAACAATTAAATAAAATGTCAAAACTAATCAGTCCATAAACTAATTTGAAAAATTCCTTTAACTGAGAGCTGAAGTGAAGTTAAAAAAATATGTAAGGTATGAAAAATTCTTGTTTCGTATTTATATTTTGTTCCCAATATCTATTATATGATTAATGCTCATTATGTCCTTCGCAAAGAGTCTAAAACAACATTTGTTCAGTGCACTAATTCTCTAAAAGAATCTATTTAAAGAATATATTTAATTTTGAAATTGATTGATATACGGATTATACTATAAAATCGATATTTTCTTGGTTATTATGAAGGATGCGTTTTTACAAGAAGCAACGGCCTTAATGCTTCTTGGCTAAGTTTTACTCTTATATCAAAGTCAAAAATCATTTATTCATATAAGGTAACACAATGTACACTTATGAACGTCAAAAAAAAAGTAAATGAAATGCTTCTAATTTTAGATTTAATGCCAGTTCTCAAATCAAGGGCGTAGAATGGAAGAGAAGAACTGGCAATAAACTCTCCGTCACTGTTTTTATTCGCCAAGTTTTTTGTTATACAGAACGTTTGTAAGGAGCTGCAACCATTACACCATGTGACATCTTAAGTAATAAATAATAATAAAATAAATTAAAAATAAAGATTTGTCCTCTATCAGCAGGCATGGTGAAATAGGAGCACGCACTTACATTCTCGTGGGAACAACACGCAAATACATAGTCGAAATAACTAATATCACGACCCTGTACGACCAGTCACCCAGAAGTAGCACCCGTTCACGAGTATGACGCATGGCCAGCCGTTGGCCCCCTCGCCATGTTTTAGGGAAAGAGACAACCCGACGCATGGACAAATAATAAAGTTGCTAAAGTTGCAACTTGCTAAAGTTGTTTTGTTGCACCAGTTCAAAGTTGCGATGACTGCCATTTCAGAAGCTTTTTTGTTATATACCAGGGGGCAAACAGGCAGGAGGCTCACCTGATGTTAAGTGATGCCACCCATGGACACTCTCAATGCCAGAGGGCTCGCAACTGCGTTAAGAACGAGTTGTTCGGATTAATACCTGCAGTACTGCTCAATTCTGAACACTCTACGTGGCAAATGCGGTAGGAGATGCAGAAACCAGATGACCCTACATCTCTACGCAACACCAAGGTATCAAGCCGCTCGAAAAGGAGCTGGTCACCGACGATTCGAACCGCTCTTCGTTGAATGGTACTGGGGAGCTTCCCCCCAGAGCTGAGAACAGGACTCCATGTGGGAACGAATTTATTTCATGTACCGTCTTGTCTTGCTGAGAACACCAAGCGCATTGGAGCTTAATTTAGTCTTTCCCTACAAACTGATCGTCGTAAGATATGTCAACGCCAAGTTTTCCGATGCTGGCTGGGGCTTTAAGAAGAGTGTCTTCGAAAAGAGGTGTGTGTGGGGTGTTTTTAGCGGACAATGCGCAAACTTGTGTCTTCTTTGGGTTTAGTCGACCCCAGTCTAAGATTCCACGTACGAGCTACGACTTCAGACACAAATTTCTTCCTGTGCTGATCGACAACTGACCGAGAAATACCTGCATGGTCAGTGTAAAGAGCTGTGTTGCTAAGTTGCAACATAGCATTGATGAGCTGAAGAAACAGGATCCCAGCATTCACGGGTTTAAGGTCGGAACATGCTGCTTCAACGACGACCTTGATGCTCCAATCGGCAAGAAAGCTGGAGATCCAGTAGCATAACCTCTCGGGGACCCTCGAAGCTGGCTTCAGATGGAACATCGTTCATATTGACCGGAAGTTTAGATTTTTAAGTGGAATTTTAGCTTTAAAAAAAGCCGTACAAAGTGTATACTTGCCAGCCGACTATGTCGAAAAAAAAACATTTTATAAAAGAGAATTGCGTCATACTTATTATCACCTTTTATTCAACACTCTTAGTATATACATATCTAAAATATGTGTACTAATAGAACACGATCGTGCGCGCTACGTATATAGCGAGTCTTGTATGTAGCGAGTGTCTACGCTCGTCGATTACGCAATATTTAAAGACCAATAATTATAATCAAAAGTATCGATTTATAATGCGGTTGTTCAATTTAAATGCCTTCTATGAATATATTTACGCTCTCTAAAATATTTGTTAGGGATTTTATATAAATATAAGTAGATGACGCAAAATAGATCACATGCTCATGGAAAGTAAGGCTAACTGGTTTATGCAGAGTTTATGTTTCGAGATTGCATTAAAATTATTTCTTAACATTCATAGAAATTAAATTTTACAAAATATTATTTTTTTAAACAAAAAAAAAGGAATTGTCAAATAATTGTTTCATAATCAATTAATTTTGTCTATTGTATTCGACATGTCGAAACAAGAAAACGTAAAAACCAATTATTTTTTAACCTTGGTGTTACTTTGCATATTTTAAAATTGCTTATCAAAGATTTTATTAGCAAAATAATCTTCATTACCTCTAAACATTTTTTTGGCTCGATTTTCTTCTACTAGAAGGTACCTTTTCTTCTAATAGGAAGAAGTCTTTATTTTTCAAAGTTAAATTGGCAATTGGCATGTGTATTAATAAAACTTAAAAAGGAGTATAAGTAGTATTGCATTGCAAAAAAATGAAAAAAAAATAGGTTAGAATAATTATAGCATTTTTAATTTTAGGTTATTTTTCTGTTTTGCATAAAAATAATTTTATAATTAAAAATAAATAAAAAAAATGGGATGGTGAATTCACCATCCCAAGTTTTTTATAATATACTGCTCAAAACAATTAGCGGAACAAGATTTTTCTCCTTTCTATTGCTTAAACTAAAATTAGATTTAAATTAACTTGTACGCTATTTTTTACCTTGTTAATTTGTTAATTACTACAATTAATAAAAAAATTCATATTATGTGACAATTTAATTACAGTTAGATAGCATAGAAAGTAATTTTTTGACTGTTTACACTTAATACCACCAAAATATGTAAAAAAATCTCCTTGGTCTTAAAACTTTATTTTTTTTATTTTCTTTTTCTTATCATAAGGTTTTTACAAATTTTACATATATTTAATATTCTCTACCTACGCTTGTTAAAATATAACAAAATTATTTAAATTATATAGCTAATTACAATCGCTTTAATTATTAAAAAGCTAAAATCGCTATAAAGCTAAGTACATACGAGCGATTTTATTTTGATTATAAATTACATTTTGCTGACACCACGGTTGCATAGTTGGTGAAGTTGAAGAAATCAATAATAAGAATAGTAATATAATTGTTTCGGGTTAGTTGTCATTATAACTATCGATACTTGATAATGAAATTTGTTCTTTAGGAAAAGAAAATTGCTATTACATGTATTATCATAGTTGAATAATTCGTCCTGTATGTAGTGTAACTTTACAAGATAATACATAATAATATTCATACGCAATTACTTGCTAAAATCCCTATCCACTGCAGGGTTGACTAAAAATAAAAAAATAAAAATTGTGCGTGTACTAGGTGTACACACGTAAAAAGTGAAACTTCTTTATGATCTTATTTTTCGAAAAATGATCTACTATATGCAACTTTACAGAAATTCGTTAAATTAGATAAAGTTTAACAAAAGGCTTTTATTATCATAGACATGAATACAAATATTTCATTTTACCTTATTACTACGAAGATTATTATAGAATTTCATTAATTGTAATAGAATTATTACTATCATTGAAAAACGTGACGATTTGCTACAAAATTTCTCCCATACGTCGATAAAGAAGTTTCATTACACGCACAATTTCTTTTTTTTTTTTAAGAATTTGATTAGATCGCCTTCGATATAGCCTTAAAGAGCGATACTACGATTATAGCGGTCATACAATTTTTATATTAGTACGAATAATTTTACAAAATTTCCTATGAATCATGCTTTAATTTTATTATTTTAAGCAGTTAATACTAGTTTCTACTAAGTTATTTTATTATCACTCCGACATACACACTTTTCGCATCAATATATTATAATGTGGATTCTTCTAATTTCAATAATATCCTTATTATGTAACATTGATGGTAAAGTGTTTTTGTTTTCAATGTTAATAATTTATTTTCATTTCTTTTATATATTGAATTTTCGTTGACATTATTTAAACGTAGGCCAAGAAGCGGAGAGCGCTTTTTTATATTATTTATGCACAAATAAAAATTGTCTACAGTATAAGGTTTTTTTGGTTGAAACCAAATTTAATTAATTAAACTGTTTATTCTTTTATGTATTGTTTCAGTAGTTTTTGGGTTTTTGCATAAATTAATAGTATTTCGTTTTTTACAGCAAAGCCATCAGACATAACAGGAAAAATAATAAATGGTGCTGAGGCACCAGAAGGAGCCCTACCCTACCAAGCATCTATAAGGCTACAAGATGGCAGTCATTTTTGTGGTGGGGCAATACTGAACACAAAATGGATTCTTACTGCAGCACATTGTATTGAGCCGTAAGTAACTATCAATATTTAACCTTTAATGATCTAATAATCTTTATAATTATACCTCCAATAACCGCAATTGCGCAGATCTCTGTAATCTTTGGATAATCTGTAGCTGTCAATAGTGATTCCAATTTCAAAATCAGTCATGAACTTAATTTGGTTCTTGGATTTCTACAACAAACGAAATTCAAAGATATCGAACTTTATAATCTCCTATAATTTTTAATTTCTTATTCATATGTATGCTATACCTAGCATTAGCGAATTTTATCAATTGTAATGTTCATTGTTGCTTTTATTATTGTACAGAGTAAGGCCAGTAATCCTAGAAAATGAAGACAATAACTGGGCTACAAACCGATTTTTGTTTCTAATTTTTTCGTAGGAAAATATACCTTTCATACTTGGACAGGTTTTGAGAGTGTTATATGTTAATTGTTTCCTTTCAGAGCCTATATGAGGTACATTCGAGTAGTAGTTGGTACAAATGATGTAAAAAACGGCGGGCAACAGTTTAAACTTTCTAAAATTACATGTCATCCTGATTTCACCAAAAAGAACTATTTAAATGATGTATGCCTTTTGCAAGTGGATGGTACCATTCATTTTGACAGTAAAGTCAAGTCTATAGCCTTACCGGAAACAGAAACGAAAGCTGGAGCTAATCTTTTGATTTCCGGTTGGGGAAAAATAAGCGAGGTATATATTAATTAAAATATCACTTTTGAACAAAAATATACAGAATGACAATTATTGTCTTTTTGTAGACGTAGTAATAAACATGTTGAGTACAATAGTTCGTTACAGCCTAATAAACACATTAAATAAGTAGTCTACAAGATTAACTATAGATTTATTTATTTTATTTATAAGTTCTTAAACAACGTGTATGAATAAAATTATATGAGATATGACATCACAAATTTTACACACATCAATTATATTGGAACATAAGCAAGCTAGCAAGGGAAAAAATTAAACAAGCAACCACAAAAATAAAATAAAACGTGCGTGCGTACAAAGTACACACGTCAGAAGTGAAAGTACTTAGGCAAACTAATTTTTAAGTTTTAATTTTTTTTTGTCTTGTTCATATTTATACACATCTCAAACTTTAGATTTGAGAGACTTGAGGGAGGGAAAAAGGAAGATACGTTAGGAATTTAATAAATTTAATTGTCATTAAAATACTAAGTGTCAAAAATCAATACAAATTATAAATATAATTTTTTTAATTTCTTTCTTCGATAATAAAAACACGTGGCATTTTAATTTACAATTCGTCATTTGAGATTTCAATAAATTATTTTGCATAAAATACTAATATTTCATAAATTCTCTTTACGAAATTTTAATTTTAAAAATAGAATTTTTATAATTTTTCTTTTCACTCTCTCTAAATCGGTCTCAAGCGCTCTCTCCCTTTCCCTCGACAAAAACGCTGCATATCTTCGTGACGTTTCCGTAAAAATTCACCCTCATGTGCCTAAAAAAGTTTCACTTCAATAAAAACAAAAAAAAGTAATAATAACTATATTTTAAAGGATCCTGAGTCTTATCCTCAAAAATTGCTAATGCAGAATGTAACAGCTATTTCTACAGAAGAATGTAAGAAGAGTTTGGGAAAATTCATTCCAATTGATGATACTAAAATATGTACGAATAAAGTGAAGGGATCCAGTGCCTGTTCTGTAAGCAATATTTTTATTTCTTGTCATAGTAATAATTATGTTCCAAATTGGAATTAACCGGCGTTTTTAACATGATTAAATTAAATTCCCTTTATGCAAAGTGCTATATAATAATAAAGCCCATTTATTTCCAACAACCTTAAATAACATTTTTATCTTATAACTATTCATCTTAAACTATGTTATTGGAACCCCTTGTAGGGTAAAGGCCTCCTCTAGTTCACTCCATGCTTTTCTATTGCCGATTGAATTATTTCGTCGATGTACTAATTTTTAGATTTTAATTTTTTGTTTTTATTTTATCTAGAGGGTTATGGTTTTCTCCTCGCAAGTAGGTGGTGCTATATGCACAATACTTAATCGTATACACGGCTGAGCTGGCTAACTCTAAAATGACAAAATAATTTAACTTAATTGAAATTTTAACTTTTTTTAATCGCCTAAAATACTGTCTGTTACAGGGCGATTCAGGTGGTCCACTCGTCGATGGGACATCAGTTGTTGGCATTGCATCTTTCGTTATTACACCCTGTGCCGTATTTGACTATCCTGTTGGCTATACAAGAGTGCTTTCATACAAGGACTGGATTACAAAGAGCATTGCATAAATAAATAATGATACTTTTTGTTATAATTATAGACGATAACGCTTCAAAGCAGACGTTTGGATTCAAATTTCTGCATCTATTTTTCTTTATATATAAACTCTTGTCAATGGCCCTGATAAGGCTCTAGATGAACTTACTTATAAAAAATATCAGATCAGCCACTGATAAAACATTCTAATCTGCCATATATAATAAGCTTATAGACTATTCAGTCTTATATTCGACATTGATTTTACCAATAATCCAATCAATATTCAAATATAAATTGGGCTGAAAGCAAATTAAGCAGTTACGCGAATTTTCTTCTTGTAAATATGTATTATTTAGAAGATTTGTAAAATATTTATGACAGTCTTTGGAAGGAGTTATTTCAAATCAACAACACAATAAAAAATAAGTAATATTTAATAACAACCGAGCTCTTTTTAGTACTTTCAGTGACACATTTTCTTTATTCATCATTCACGTTGACAATGGTTTGTAATATTTTATTTTTGCACTCATTTCTGCGCGAGATTGATTGAATGAAACAATAGATGACGTGGGACCGCGTTGCATTTAATTTCCTGCTATTAATTACCAGTAAAGATAAATGCAAATGTTATTTGAACCCAACTTACTATATCCTTCGTAAATAAAAAATAAAAAATGCTATGTATCAGTTTCCAACAAATTTGATTTATGTTCTTAACTCTTGATTAGTTTGAACAGTTAGAAATATTTGATAAAAATATAACATTTTATAATTTTAGTTAATAAAAGGTTGACGGTGAGTTTATTGCCAATAGACAACTGGCGTAGAACTGATATGTTAATTTACATTTTTTTAAGTTTTGAAGCTTGGAATTTTTTATTTCTTCAACACATAGTATACCTGCCAAGTGAATTTTGAATTAAAAGTATTATTTCGATGATATATGATATCCTTGACGCTTGTTAAAAAAATCTAACAAATTGGAATGTACGTACTTTAATTTACATTTTCAATATAGAAAAAAAATAATTTATCACTATAAAAGGTAATTATGTAGTTAATTAGTAACGTATCTATAAGGTGTATTAAGTTTATATTATTATTGTTTAATTATTAATGTTTTATTTATAGCTTTAGTCCGGGATGAAACTGACAATATAAACCTATCTATTTCACTGGAAGATATAGTGTATGATATAAGTAGAGCAGCTGGCCCTATGTGGTTACGTAAAGCTAGACACCGAGAGGAGTGGGAGCTCTTAGAGGAGTCCTATGTCCAAGGACATGCTGTAAAATAGAAATTAACCGGCTTTCCGGTTAGTTATTATTGTTTATATACTAGGATAAGTATATTACAGAAATAAAGGCTATTATTAATATTTCACTGGAAGATATAGTGTAAAATGAGCTTTATTATTTGATTAAAATGAGTTAACGATCACATTTTAACGATCACTTTGACGGCATAACACATATATTTAAAACAATACGGTTTCGTCGAATACAATAGTATCGCAAATTTAATAGCGATACTATTGTATTATATATTATAGCCATATAACTATTATGGTAATGTGCTATTTTCTAATTACACCGATAAATATTGTCTTACTTCTTATGAACATTTAAAGAGAAATTAAAAGTTAAATCAGTAACGTCAATATTCGAAGGTAACAAAAGGTTGTTTATTTTTTAGGGCCGCTGCGGATTTAATATTTTTAATCTATACATCTCAATCTGATATTCTTGCAACGGTTTTATAAGAGCGATTATTATTCCAGCGATGCCTGACATAACAACAAATCGTATCGAGCCGGACATAACTAGCAATAGTATAATAATGCTCACTTATTATAATTGTACCCACACTAAACTCTGTTGCTTCTTTAGCGACAGAAATCTCGACATTTTAAATCGCATTTCGATATAGTTCTCTGATGTTGCACTCTTCGAACCGTGCGGTGCAAAAACTCAACATTGACATGAGCTGTAGCGATATCTGCAATTTGCGCTTATAAATCACTGCGATGACGTCATACCCTGAAACGCGCTATCGAAGTTATTTCGGCCTCTAAGGATTTATATTGTTCTTATGGTACCTTTCTCTATCTTTTTTGCGTATCTCTTCAACAGCAGCTTCGGTTAATTTTGCCCACGCTCTGCGCATACTTATTTGTTTTTGTTCACGACGTCTTTTTTACTTCATCAGTCAGATGTTTAATTCTACTTGTTCTAGGCATCTTGATTTGCTGAAACAATGACAATAAACCACATACACACCAGGCTAAGCATTAAACAAGCATAATGGGTTAATGCAACATAATATTGGCAAAAAGAAATAGAAAACGTCACAGAATATGTTTTGAAAAAAGCATGCTCAGTTTCAATAAGAGTCACTCTTGTGGACACAGACTTCTGTGGCAGAGTCCACAGAAAAGACTACGTCCACAAGAGTGACTCTCCACAGAAAAGTTTTCTCGGAAGGGTAAACCAATCAAAACAAGCACGTAACACGTAATATTTATAGGTTAGCTCATAACGCACCTTGTTTTTGTAAATGGACGCCAATAACAATAGCTATAAACAGATTTGCGTATATTTCAATAAAACACTTACCGTACTTTCGAAGTCACAGAAAAGTCGCAACCATCGTTGACATTAAATTAAAACAATTACTAATAGGCGAGATTTGTATTTTTAATGACGAAGCGCTTGCATACACTTACACCGCATGGACTAAGCTATACTTGAACTGACAGATTGAAATGTTGCCAGTTAAAATAAATATTCTATCTAAGGTTGCGTTTCAATTATCGACTGTTCAAAATCAAATTTATTTGGACCACGGAAGGAGTGGCGGTACCGATAACAACTTGTTTATGTATTATAATTCGAAGGAATTTTGGTTTAAATATTATGTATAGTGGAAAACAATGTTTTGATATAACAGATAAAATAATAAAATTAAAATATAATAATTTAGAATAACTGATAAAATAGGCGATGTATTTCAAATTTTAAGTTATTATATTTTAGTTTTGTTAATGAAGTACGAAACATAGGCTGGAAACGGTCCAGGAAAAGGTACCAAAACTCAAAAGGATGTTTTAATTTAATATTTAAAAAAATACGAATGTAAAAATTTCCATGCGCGTCATTTATATACTAATAGTAAATAATTGAAGGTAATAATATGGCTGGTTTACATTATTTTAGTTAATTTTGAGACAACGCACACATTTTTGAGCCAAATCAGGTACTACTTAGTTCAATGTGTCTAAAAAAATATTGATTTTTCCTCTCTAACTTTTGTGAACGTATGTATAGTAAGAAATTAACAAATAAAATTACTAAAAAAAAAACAAATTAGATAACACAAAATTTACCACACATGCCCCACTCGTACGCTTCAGTTGAGTTTTTACAGCTTATTGTATATATTTAGCATAATTGTTTTTTGTTGTAAATAATTTAAGGTGGTAGGAGTTCGAAATAAACTATCATAATAATATTCTACATTGATTAAACTAATAACGTAAAAACTCCATTTACACTACCGTTACATTGTTAATAAATATTGAAATACAGATTGGGCCGAAGCCGCCCTACAGCGGCATCTACATTTTATTCATACCGGTTGTTAGAAATAAAATTTTACTGCAAGATTATCGGCAGTGTAATAATTACATTGGATTTTCTTTCCGCGTCCGCCAAAGCCTTACGGCCGTGAGGTAAATTATTCATATTTCCGGTGTACTGCCCCTAATGAGTGCTTTATGTTTTTATTGCCTATACTCCATGAAGTTATGATGTAAATTTTAACAGTGTGTTGTTTGGATGCAATTTATCTTCACAAATTATTCAAAATAATTGCCAATTAATCCTTATAAATACGCACGGAATTATTATTTACTTATTTAAAAAATATTTATCGACAGGATTTTTAAATATAACTTTAAAACTTAATAGTAGTATGGGAAACTTGGCAAACATAATTTATTTTTCATAATATATGTTACTGGCGAGCTGTGTCACTGTTATCACTTTAACAACGATTTGGCTCAGAGCTCCGAAATCTTTTAAAAAACGATTTTCTGCTTCCGAACATTCCGAGCGAGATGGCTCAGCCAAGATACATTATAAAATGTTTTTAAATCGGTCGACGTTTTGTACATCTGTTAAAATACAACATTAAATGTTGGAAAAGCCGAAAGCAAATTTATTTTTATTCATCATAGGCCTACGCTGGCATACCGAGTTCTATTAAATTTTGTTGTCGTCCTCAAACTACGATACTGTACATCGCCATGGTCTGTTTGACAACCCTTTGTTTGTAATTGGAACGCCAAACCAAAATGGTTTCTATCGAGGTCTCGATACTAAATTCATGCATCCCAAAGCAATAATTAACTTAAGTGATTCCATTTCAAAATGTAGGTTCTATTAGATCTAAAAATTACATTATAAATGAGGTTCACGCAAGCGAGATTTTAAAACCAAGAACACAAACGAATCTAAATAAAAATAAGTAAGTAAATTTAATCACAAGCATACTCTTTCTTGTACTTTCAGTGACAGTTTTTCTTTATTTATCATTCTCGTTGACAATGGTTTGTAATATTTTATTTTTGCACTCATTTCTGCGCGAGATTGATTGAATGAAACAATAGATGACGTGGGACTGCGTTGCATTTAATTTTCTACTATTAATAACCAGTAAAGATAAACACAAATGTTATTTGTATCTCTTTTCAGTTTCCATAAAAAAATTGTTTCTAGCTATGGTTCGAAGAGTTTCCTAGTTAAAATATTTTGTTAAAAAGTCTGTATCATATACACACACATTCTCAATGGTCAAAAGCCATTTAAGCAGATTTAATTGAGCAAGATCTTATGGTAGATATAAAATAATAGACTAAACGATTTCTTAAACTGTACGATATAAAATATAAAATTCAATAACTTTAGTTGATTAAAGAATGACGGTGAACTTATTGCTAGTTCTACTCATCAGTTCTACGCCTTT